CTCTTCCCCTGAACACCCTAGCATTTCTAAGTGATTTCATTTGAACAGAGCACACATTAAGAATTCTGAATCTAGTGCTAAAAAAAAATGCACCACAAATTATCAATAAACCTTCTTGGTCTTGTGATGAACTGATCACAAACCCTCAATAAAGGCAATAGATACTATTTGGGCTTCTGAAGGGTCGGCATTCTCTGTCTGAGCCACTGATAAGCCGGAACACAGGACACTTTGGTTCCTCTTGCTTTATCATTTGTTGGATGTTTACCTATCGTGTGCTAGGCATTGTGCTATAAGGCACACTGGTGGTTCAGTAGTAGAATTTTCGCCTTCCATGCGGGCGACCTGGGTTCGATTCCCGGCCAATATACCTCATGCGCAGCCACCACTCGTCTATCAGTGGAGGCTTGCATGTTGTTGTGATGCTGAATATGTTTCAGCAGAGCTTCCAGACTAAAACGGACTATGAGAAAAGCCTGGTAATCTACTTCCGAAAATCAGCCAACGAAAATCCTATGGATCACAAAGTTCCAATCCAACCAATCATGGGAATAGTCCAGACCGGGCAGTGTTTTGTTCCACTATGTATGAGGTCACCAACAGTCAGGGGCCGACTAGATGGCAGCTAAAAACAATATAATAGACATTGTGCTCAAAGTATTTGAATATATATCCCACTTTACTTTCAAATCAACTGAAAAAGACACTATCATAATCCCTATTCCATTAGAGAAAGGAGTCGAGGCTTACAATTATTATAAAGTGGCAGGGCTGCAATTTAAACCAGGTGTGACTCCAAAGTCCGCGCCCTTAACCACTGAGCTCTACTGCTTCCCTAGAGAAGGGCGAATAAAGTTCACGTGCAGGTCGTTAGAAACAGGTCGCGACAGGAGACCTGTTTAACCAGCACCAACCATCACCTGATATCCCAATCGCAAGGAAATGAGCTGGGCTTTATCCTGGCCATTCTCCATCTTACACTCTTTGCTCCAGCTGTTATTAGTATGTTTCCCTTACATGCTAAGCACTCTCTGGCTTCCAGGCCTTTGCACGTTCTATTCCCTCTGTTCACTCTCTTCCCTTGGCTAACTGCTTCTCATCCATCAAGTGTTCAATCCAGACTTCCCTTCCTCTTCCCTGGATTAGGTCTTCCTCCCATGTGCTCTCACATCCCACTCATAGCACATCCCAAACCACTGCCTATTTACATGTTTATCACTCCTACTAGATGTGAGCTCTGAATCCCATGAAGTCAGAGACTATGTCTGTCTCATACATACTATGTGCCTGGCACACAGGTGTTCAATCAATGTGGAGCAAATTAATGTACAAACCAATCAATCACATCAAACAAGGGCAGGAAGTACTGATCCTTCTAAGGTCCAAATCTCCCCAGTCATAGGTTGAAAGTTTGCAACCACTGAACAACCAAGCAAAGAATGTTTTCTTTTTATTTTGAGCATGATGGTTAAGGACATAGGCTCTGGGTAAAACAGATTTGGGTTCAAATCCCAGCTCTGTCACTAACTAGCTGGATGATCTGAAGCAAACTACTTTAGTTTCTTCAAATCTCTATTTCCTCATCTCTAAAATGGAGGTATTAGAAGTGCCTACCTCACAGGATTGTTGTGAGGATCACATAAGGTACTGCATAATTAAATGCTCAGCAAATGGTTAAGCGCTCAGCTGCTAACCAAAAGGTTGGCAGTTTAAGTCCACGCAGAGGCAGCTCGAAGAAAGGCCCGGTAATCTACTTCCAAAAGATCACAGTCACGGAAAACCCTATGGAGCTCAGTTCTACTCTGATACACGTGGAGTAGCCGCCAGGTGTTGGAATCAACGCAACACATACTGGTTTAGTTTGGTTTTTGGTTTGTTTGTTTTGTTTTTTATGATCATGATCATGAAAAGAAGAAAGATGAAGACAATGAATAAACTATAAACAGTATGAAGTCTCAAAGTGTAAAAAGATGGGACCAAGTAACATACCTCTACCTTTATAAGAAGGGAGGGAGCTAAAACGGAGTGCTAGTGGAAAGGAACAAGAAATAACCCATTGCTGACAAGTCGATTCCGACTCATAGCGACCCTATAGGACAGAGTACAGAACTACCCCATAGACTTTCCAAGGAGCAACTGGTGGATTTGAACTACCAACCTTTTGGTTAGCAGCTGAGCTCTTAACCACTGTGGCACAACCAGGGCTCCTTAAACTCAAAAAAAAAAAAAAAAAAAAGATGCCCTGGAAGTATTAAGCCAACTCCTTTAGAGCCTATTTTAGTGGACTGACAACCCAAGGCAAGTCAAATTATAAAGAGATACCCCAGTGTTCTGATTAAGCAACTGAATCCCTCTAAATTAAAAAACTCCAAAACTGACAACTTAAAGAAGGTTAATCCTTATATCATCTTGCTCAAACTTGAAGCCTGTCAGGATAAGCCAGACCTTGAGTATTTCTATTAATAATTCCTGCCCATGCAAGTAACAGACAAGGTCAGTTTACACCAAGCTCCTAGAAACTGCCCAGATTCTACATTTAGGGAGATAAGTACTTAAACTCAAAGACATCTGTAATTTGGTTATAACTTTAACTGACTCCAGCTAATGTTAAGAGGAGCCCAAAAATCTTACCATTAAGTGATAATCATAACTATTTTTTTCTTAATTATGATTTAGTTGAAACTTTACATAGCAAATTAGTTTCTCATTAAATAGTTAATACACAGATTGTTTTGTTATATTGGTTGCCAACCCCGAAATGTGTCAACACACAGTGTTCTCCATCCCAGGTTCCCTGTTTCCATTCATACAGTTCTCCTGTCCCTTCCTGCCTTCTCGTCGTTGCTTTTGGGCTGGTGTGCCCATTAGTCTCGTATACATGATTGAACTATGAAACACGTCCCTCACATGTTATTGCTGGCCCTATAGACCTATCTAATCTTTGGCTGAAGGGTGAACCTCAGCCCTGATTTAAAAGTGTCTTTAAAAATGTAACATTGTAAATTTTAGTCTTGATATGGGTTTATTCTTAGCGTAATGAATAATGTCCGTACCAAATTGTACCAAGTACCATTTGTTAGACTGTTGTAGCAAACACTGCTTCTAATATTTAAGTTGATATAAAGGTGGGTCTATCCCCTAAAGTGACTACATAAATATTTACTCTAAACATACAAAACAGCAAGGGAAAAAAAACAAAATTTCTTCTCTATGCACTATCATCTCCAAACCTTATAGTTTAACGATATTAAATAAAACATAATTTTTAAAAACTTACTCTGTATCAAAGCTAAATGAAACAGAATGATGGCACCAATCACTTCTGCTAATGATAACCTTAATTACACTATATACATGAGCACATTTTATCGCAGAGCAAAAGTAACTCAAGTTTTCCCACTTCAATGCCTCAGCCAACCTGACTTGTATGCAGACTGCAGACAAATAGAAGTCATCCATCAACAAGAGCAACTCGAAAGGTTAGACAGGAACCTTAGGAGGCAGTGAGGGAAGAACAACTCAGAAAAGGAGGGTGAAAATTGTTGCACAACTCAAAGACTGTAATCAATATCACTAAATTGCACACGTAGAAACTGTTGAATTGGTCTAAGTTTTGCTGTATATATTCTCAACAACAACAAAATAAATAAAATTTAGGGGAAAAAAAAAGTTATCCATCAAGAGCACAATCATTACTTATATCTCCCAGGAGAGGCAGTCACATATCCTGGAGTTACAAGATATTTTAAAAGATTCTCAAGACAGGTGTTATTAGAAAAGCACTTCAAATTCTGCAGCAACTTCAGAAGAAAACATATATTAAAAATACTCTCTTTCAATGACATATGCTTTATTAAAAATAATCCAGAGAAAGGGAAAAAACTGTGAAGATAAAATAAAAACATATTGGTAAAATGCTGAAAATTGTGGAAGCTGGATGAGAAGTATACAAGGGCGCAATTTATCATTTTCTACTTTATGTTTGAAAACGTTCATGATAAAGTTAGACAGAATATTCTCTCCAACACAAACAAGATCTATTCACCTAAATTTAAATTTAGGTTCACCAAAATGTCAACCTTGCTGGGATGGGATGGGTAGCTGTTGTCAAGTTAGCCCCCAACTCAAGGTGACCTCATGCACAATGGTCCTGCACCATCCTCATGATTGGCTGCGGATCAGACCATTGTCACCCATAGGATTTTCCCTGGCTGATTTTCAGAAGTAGATTACTAGGTCTTTCTTCCTAGTCCATCTTAGTGTGGAAACTCTGCTGAAACCTGTTCAGCATCACAGCAACATGCAAGCCTCAACTGGTAATCTCAACCAAGGGATCATTAAATTACCACAAAAGGTTTTCCACCTCTCAGTCATTGACAACGCCCTAAGAACTCTGTGCCCCAAAGGGTTTGACCCCTCAGCCCCACAGCCCACCTCTCACAAGCTAGAGGGAACCTCAAGTCCAGTGTGAACAGAGCAGATCCTTCCTTCAGCAGGCATTTCCCTCTGAAACACCAAAAACCTATGTAAAATGCCAAATGTTTGATTCAAATTCTCAGATCGCCACTCCGAAGGTAGATGCAAGTATAACATTTGAGAAAATTTTATTAATTAAACTGACATGAGATGACTTTTTAAAACCCCTCCCCGAAGTCTTTACAAATAAAGTCATATAATCAGTCATTAATAGCCAAGATAATAAATGAGATCACTGACATCAAGCTAATACGAAAACAGGCTCTAGGTGATGACCTAAATATGGGTGATGATTACAACTTGAAGAAATACAATTTTTAAAGTCTCTAAAATTTAAATTATCCTTCTATTAGCTTCCAGTGAAAAAATATTCCAATTAACCTAGGACAAAATGGTCCTCAGACCTTTTGAACAACATATAAAACACAGAGTTAGTGCTAGATGAAAATTAAGTAATCCCAACAATGGAGGGAAAAAACACTTTATTTCCAAACATTTGAATAAAAATAAACAATAATCCTTACCAGTACTTTGTTTTCAACTCTGTCTCCCTTGACTTCCAACTTTACTTTCTTCTTCACTGCAATTTTTATCTTTCTGCCAATAACATCCTCTATGCTTTCTGAAAGAAAGGGGAAAGTTCTGTTATATTCTTCCGTTAGTAAGAAAAAAAGTACTGGGGAGGAGAAAGCATTTGGAGCAGAATTTTTGCTTGTTTTTATTATTAATGTCTGTTTTTTATTTGCTTATTTTCACAAGCCTGATAGTTATCAGTCATTGACTATTTAATGAATACCTACTGTGTACCTTGTAATATGTGCTCAGATGCTAAGGCAAATATAAAAGCATATAACATAAACCCAGCCCATGTGAGGCATGGGGAGCCCTGGTGGTGCAGTGGTTAAGAGCTCTGCTACTAACCAAAAGGCTGGCAGTTCGAATCCACCAGCAGCTCCTTGGGAACCACATGGGGCAATTCTACTCTGTCCTATAGGCTCACTATGAGTTGGAATCAACTCGAGGGCAACGGGTTAGGGCTTTTGTAAGGCATAATATAATCTTGTTCAGAAAACAGGATGCATACACAAGAAAAAAAAATGAGAAATGTAGGGCAATATGATTGAACACTATATTGTATGCAGACCAAAAGCACAATTGTTGTTGTTAGCTGCTGTCAAGTCAGATTCCAATTCATGCTGACCCTAGAACTAAATGCTGCCTCGTCCTGCACCATACCTAGGATTGGTCAAGGACTAGACCTTTGTGATCCACAGGGTTTTTATTGGCTGATTTCCAGAAGTAAATCCCCAGGCCTTTCTCCCTAGTCCTTCTTAGTCTGGAACCTCCTCTGAAGCCTATTAAGCATCACAGCAACACTGTGAGCCTCCACTGACAGACAGGTGGTAGCTGCACATGAGATTCACTGGTCGAGAATCAAACCTACATCTCCCACGTGGAAGGTGAAAATTCTATCACTGAACCACCAATGACCCCAATATACAACAGGATTTCCTAAACTCCCTCAGCCCTTGGGCTGGTCACCTCTGGCCCCCAGCAGCCTCTCTGTTGATCATAGTGCCATACAGATATTATCCTTCTCTACGAGGGCCTTGACAAGGAAAATGTTGGGATATTCGGCAAAGAGCCAGAACAGGGCCAAACAATTTAGCCAGGAAAGGTACTCCCAGCCATCTGTCCTTCAAAAACTATCAAAGCACAACACCCTACAGCAGTCAAAAGCAATAGAAAGGGAGAAACACAGGAGAGTAGAGAGTTGAAAATTTGGATGAAAGCAAAATGGTCTTTCTGGGACTTCCACGATACCCCAAACTAAGCTGATGCAAAACCAAACTCATGATCATCCCTGCTCTTCTTATGGCCACTAATGAAGCTAGAAATCTTGGTTATCTCCAACATCTTTCTCTCAGATAGGGAGTCAGTCACCAAGTCTTCTAAAATCTACCTCCTGAACAGCTTTTGACCCCATGACCCTGCCTTCAAGCCCTAAGACTAAGTTCATGGCCTCCAACCTATCAACCCATTGGTCACTACATAACCAAATAGACCCTTCCAAAAACATGAGTCTGATCATGTCACTCCTCGTCTAAAATTCTCCAATGAGTCAGTCATCTTTCATTAATAAGATGAATTCAGACCTCCTAGCATGCCACTCAAGATCTCTCCCATCTTCTCAACTTAATGTATCCGTATACAGTCTAAGATCTAATCAACCCTAACATCCCCATCTTTTGTGTCCCCAGGCTTTTGTATATACTATTTTCTTTCCTGGAATGCTCTTTTCCTATTCTCATCCTGATTACATTCTATCATTCTTTAAAATCCACCTCAAGGGCCACATCCCTTTGTAAACTCTCCCTTGATTTCCCTAGGGTCAACAGCTCCCTCCTCTAGGTGTCCATAGTATTATATATTTATATATATATAATATAAATATATATTATATATATATATTTTTGTTTTGTTTATTCATGTATTCAACAAATGTACACAAGAGTACCTCCTAAGCCCTGGAAGCTGGATGAACCCGTAAACTATTGCCCTGAGATAATCTTTAAACCTTAAACCAAAATATCCCCTGAATTCTTCTTAAAACCAAATGACAGTTTAGCTTAACAAGTAAAGAATGTCTGCCTTAAGCACTGTGCTCTTTTAAGAACTATCTATATGGGATCAAACTGACATCAGCAACTCAAATGATTAGACAGGAAACTTAGGGGGCAGTGAGTTTATGTCAGTGAGGAGGAACAATTTGGAAAAGGAGGGTGAGAATGGTTGCACAACTTGAAGAATGTAATCAACGTCACTGAGTAGTACATGTTGAAGTTGTTGAATTCGTGCATAGTCTGCTATGTATATTCTCAACAATGACAAAAATAAAATAAACCAAAAAAAAAAAAGACTACCTCATGTGTGCCAGGTACTGTACTAGGTGCTGGGATAGAGATGGCCCCTGGCCTTTTGCAGGAGTTGACAGTTTAGTGGAAGAGACGGATGGGTGCCATTAAATAAATCTGCACACAGTACCATGGAATCGTGGATCAGAAGGCACATGAAGGTTTCTGGGAAGAGGGGACACAAGCTGAATCTAGAAGGCCTAGGACATAGGCCACTGGTATCCAAATTTCTTGTTGTTAGTTGCTTCACTGCTACCTTATGTATAACAGAACAAAATGTTGTCCGGTCCTGCGCCATCTTCATGATTATTGGTATGTATCACAACAGGTTTCCGAAGTGAAGGGTACAATACAATCAATACAATGCACTGAGATGCAGGAAGAAAATGGCAGAATTTTTACTTCTATTTGCAATATGTATTTCAGTGTACTTTCTGAAATTTACACAATAAATGAAATATGGATATAATTTAACAAATAAGTAGACGTTTGTGAAGGAGTGATCAAAATTTTGTTATTGGGAACACAACATCCCAAAAGTTTAGAGCCACCGTGTTAGATAAACCCAAACCAAACCCACTGCTGTCAAGTCAATTCCAACTCATAGCAACCCTATAGGACAGAGTAGAGCTACCCCACAGGATTTCCAAGGAGCACCTGGAAGATTCGAATTGCCGACCTTTTGGTTAGCAGCCATAGCTCTTAACTACTGCTCCACCAGGGTTTCCTAAGAGGAATGAAAACGGGAGGAAAGGGCATTGTCAGCATAAAGAACATGGAACCATGAGAAAGCACTGCACGTTCAGGGAACAGAAATGAGGTGGAATGTTTGGGGGAAAAGGACTGCAGGGGAGCTCGCTGAATTGTGAGTTCTCTATGCAGCACCTATCTAATCAGAACTCAAAACACACCCTGGTAACTACTCCTCCCTCCCCTAAAAAAGAACATCAAAGTGCTCCTAATTTTGGTGGTGGGAAATGGGCATCTGAAATAGACCTGACTCACAAATATATGCTCATGGAGAGAGGCTGGAAAGTCAATTCCCAAAAGGTTCAAAGTAGCTATTTCTAAGTGGTAATATGGGTGACATTTTTTTTTCCTGTTCTTTATTCTTTCCTGCAGTTTTAAATTTTTCTATAAAAAACCTATATTAATTTCAGAAAGATACACAATACATATTTAAAATGCATTGAGGCATTCCTTTAGGGGAGTATTCTGAGCTTTTCACACAGGGTTGCCATTTTCAGTGGACCAGAGCAGAACTCCTAGGAGCACTTGAAATTAAAGAGAGAAAAAGCAAGCGCAGAAGTTTCCCCTAACCCAGCCAAATTGGACCATTTAAAGGCCTAGAGAATCACATCGGGCATATCACAAAGGCGTGTATCATTTGAAGGAGAGGCCTGTGAGAAGGGCAACAGTCGATAAACACACACACACAAAAAAATTTCTAGGAAAGGGTCAAATTTAACTTTTAATATATACCAAATTATTTATTCTGAGAACCATCAATATAAATCAGGTACCTTATTTCCACCGCATCTTTCACCATTCTCTCTCTGGAGCCTAGGTGATTACCTCAACTTCTGATTACCAGGCTCAAGGACAACTCATTCCACAAATTAAAAATCTGTCACCTTCTTTCGTTATCCTTATCTCCTGACCAGAGAGACCAGCCCTTGCCTAAGCATGCTCTCTCTCTCTGGACCTCCGGAAGCATCTTTCCAGCCTCTGGGCCTTTGTTTTCTCTTCCGGGTGGGGTACTGGAAATGGCTTAGCCTCCCAGAACCGGATGGACCACTTACTCTAGCAAAGACAGCTGATGTTTTATCTCAGGGGCAACTTCCACCAGGACTGGGCAGTATATTGGCTGGAGTGGGGGGCGGGGGGCTTCCTACCCTAAATTCAGGTAAAGGGCCAAGTTGTTTTGTTTTTATTCAACACAAGCAGGGTCCTCCATACAAACTTGGCAACAGCTTCTTTACTTCAAGTTTTACCTGCTGAGTTAGCAGTCACTAATGGAGGAGCACACTCACATTCCTCGGAAGTATTACGGCTAAAGGAGAAACGGAGGGGCAAATTCCACAAATGCAGACGAATGGGCGCTCAGAACTTCCTCTTATGGTCAGCACTGAGTAAACATCCTCTTTCTCTGCTGTAGGCTGTCCAGTGTGCCAAGGATGGTACGGTAAGGAATACAGGTCATTGGGGCTCAAAACACACGCGTACACAAACACATATATACACCTTGTTACCATACAACATGCTAGACACACACACATAAACACACACAAGTTAAACGCTGGGTTTTCAGAACCCTCTAGATAATTAAGTTAAACCCCAAGACTTAAAACTTAGCACCCCCCGGCCAGCCTCAAGAGACTCAAACAATGGATCACTTTGCGTGGGTACCACACACTGGTTTCCTAAGAGATCTGGGATAAGGACAATCAGTAGGTAAATCATTATTAAAATAAGGCTTTTATTATTAACCCTCAATTTCCTGGCCCGAGTTTGCGCCAGCCCTGTAACCCTTTCGCTCCCAGCTAGCTAAATCAAGCCACGCCTTGCCAGCCTCAGTCAGTACACTAGACTAGCTCCCCCTCCCCCAAGCCTGTGTGTCAGAGGGGCCCGTCCTATGAGGTGTTCCTGCGGTGTGCGGGGATGCCTGACACGTACCGGAGACGACCCACTGTGCGCCCACCTGAGGTCCTTGGGCTTGGCTTCCCAGGACTTCCCCGAGTTTGGGGCAGTAGGCTGGATTCTGTAAAGGGTTCTCCTCGCTTCCAGAACTCTCAAATCGGAGAAGCCAGCCTCCTTTCGGCAACTTCGACCCCCTCGTTGGGGCAGGAGGAGGCGCCGGATGCTCTCAGCCGATAACTGGAGAGCCAGCTCCTGATCCCTCCTCACCTGGCTCTTCATGGAGTCAGATAGGAGCAAACTTCCCTGCGACCCCAGCGACCCTGCCCAACACCACTCCGACCTAAGAAGCGCCCAGACTTTGCGGGACCTGCTGAAAGGCAGAAGTGTGAAGGGAGGTGGAGGTGAGGAGGACACAGACGACGATGGAAAAATCAACAACCGCGCGAATCTTACCTGTCAACTGTCTGGGCACCTCGGAACTCTCCTCGGTCATGGTTGCCCTCTAGGCGCCGGGGGCTTTCCAAGTCAAAGTCTGATTTATGGGCCCCAGCCCTCCCCTGACCCCCTCAGTTTTTTCAAGAGAGGCTAAACGCAGCTTGTAAATGGGAATGGGCAAGAAAGGCACGAGGGCGGAGATAGAATTTTGCCGCGCCCCCTGCCCCACCAGGAAAAAAAAGAGTTGCAAACCCGAGGTGGGTTAGCTGCTGCATCTACATGACGCCTCCTCGCAGTTCCCGGCGGCAGAACGCGGAGCGGGCAGGCTCGCAGCGGCCGCTGGGCGCAGGCGGCTGCAGAGCCGACTCCTCCTCCGGCTAGCTCCCAGCGGCGGCGCGGCTCTGCTGGCGCCAGCCCCAACCCAGCTCCGGCCCGCACCTATGGCCCTAGGTGAAAGCGGAAGGCGTGGGGAGGGGGGGGGAGACCAGCGGCCAAGGAGGAGGGTTCCTTAGCTCTCCTGCCCGGAGCCGGCGGGGCGGGGGCAACGCCGGCCCTCCTCCTTCTCCTCCTTCTTCTCCTCCTCCTCCTCCTGCTGCGTTTCCTTCTCACCTCGCGAGAGCCGGCCTCCGCGCGGGTCCCAGGCTGGCCGCCCGCGTACTGCCCGGGAGCTCTGTACCACGAGCGGAGAGCAATCCCGGAAGAAGCTGCGCGGGGCTGCGGCGGCTGCGGCCTCCGCGCGCCTACTCGCAGCCTCCTTCCTAAACCGCAAAAGCCCTGCGTTTGTCTTGGGGGCGAGGGAGCAGGAGAGAGAGCCCGGGAGCCATCTGCTGGCTGCGAGGAAGGAGAGCCGGTGTGCAGGAACTTCCCGATTCCCGGTCCCCACCTCCGGGCGGGCAGTAGGAGAGACAGGACGCGGTCCCCACCTCCGGGCGGGCAGTAGGAGAGACAGGACGGGAGACTGCAGATTCTGCAGACCCGTCTGCACGGAAACTGGTTCTTTCTGGGACCGTTTAATAACGCACTTACTATTCGTCAGTCCTCCCTGTAACATGTTGTCATTTCATTTGCGTTATTAATTTTCCATTTCTTGTAAACAAGAGCTAGACGAAACCTGGAAACGCTAACCGTATGGTGAGAAAACACTTTTTTGTGTGTTTAGCATGAGCTCCGCAGCCGCCGTTTGCAATCTCAGACATTGGAATAGTGAGAGCGCCTCGGAAAAGTGCCTTTCTGTGGCGGTGGAGCCTCTCCACCTACCCCACCCCCACCCCGGGCGTATTTGGGGAGCTGAACATTAATTCGCAAAAGCCAGCATAAATCTGATCTTACCTGGGCCAATCCCCTCCCACTTCCCTTGAGCTCCACCCCCAGAGAGACAACTTCGGGGCCAACAATACCTGTGCACCTCTCAGTCGCTGCCTAATTGCCAGGCAGCCAGGAATGTCCCTGACTGTTGAATCTGGTTCCATTTTTATGGACTGAAAGAGGGGAGGGAGAAAAGGAAAGGGAATCGCACTATTTGGTAGTCTGGTTCTGAAAACTACTATCGACCTTGGGTCCCGAAGACAACATCTCAGCCCCTTAGCCAGGCGTTAAGGCATTTGGCAGTCTGGCTCCTTTGCACCCTTCTAATCTCTCGACTAGCAGCCAAAGTCGACTCTCTCTCCAAGACTCGCTGTTTGCTTCCTCCTCTCCTTTTAAGATTATCTGATTGTTATCTTTGTTTTAATCCCCAGTCCAATGTCTACCTTCCTTGTGAAGATTTTCCAGGGCTTTCCAGATCGCTGTGATCCCTGTAGGTCCCTGGGGTGACACGAAGGTTCGCCCTCGACTGCTAACTAAAGGTTGGCGGTTTAACTGGTAAAGATTGCTAGTGTTGACGTGGAGTTAATTCCCACACGTGAGGACTCCATGTGGTACAGAGTAGAACAACTCCATAGGGTTTTCTTGGCTGTAATCTTTAGGGAAGCAGATCACCACCAGTTCTTTCTTCTACCGTATGGCTGAGTGGGTTAGAACCACCAACCTTTAGGTTAGCAGTCCAGTGCAAACCATTTGCGTCAGCTAGGGGCTTTTCCCCCAACGATTCCTAAACCAAACCAAACTCATGGCCCTAGCATCGATTCCAACTGATAGCGACCCTATAGGACAGTAGAACGGCCTCAGAGGGTTTCCAAGACTGTAAATCCTTACAGATGCAAACTGCCACATCTTTCTCCCACAGATGAGTTGGAACCCCCGACTTTTTTGTTAGCAGCTGAGCGCTTTAACCACTGCATCACCAGGGCCCTCTAAAAATTACAGCCAAGAAAACACTATGGAGCAGTTCTGCTCTGTAATGCATGAAGTCACCATGAGTCTGAACCAATTTAAAGAGCAGCAGATTATGGCTTTTTTTTTTCTTCGATCCCTGTATTCTAATCCAGGAGAACATATTGCCTGAAACACCCTTTTGTAAACCTGGCCGTGCGATGCCTTGTTACATTGCTTATATATTTGCCTAGTTTTACTACTTAACACTTGCATTGTTCCCTGAGTTTGGGGATAGAGGATAGTTGATTGAAAACCAAAAAAACCAAAACCACTGCTGTTGAGTTGATTCCGACTCATAGAGTCGTAGCAACCCTATAGGACAGAGTAGAACTGCCCCCATAGAGTTTCCCAGGAATGCCTGGTGGATTCAAATCACCGACCTTTTGGTAAGCAGCCTTAGACTTTTCAACCTTACCAACAGCCTTGTCCAAAGTAGGTGTTCAATAAACATTTGTTAACTGAATTTTTTTTTTTTTTAAAGCTCAGTGTCTACAGGCCCCCACTGATTTTCTCAAAAGTTGGTGATTTCTTTAAGCTAGATATTTCTGTAATTCCCTAAGTATCTTTTTTCTGCAATAAATAGAAATCAACCTCTCAAAACTGTTCTTTCATTCAACCGTGTGTGTTAAAGGGGATTTCTCTGGCACATGCCAATTAAATTTCAGAAGCTGCCCCAAAGATTCCAAACCATGTGGTAACTTGTGAAAATAAGTCAAAACTTTTTTTTTTTTTTTTTTTAAATCTGTGGCCTAGAGTGGTGGAAAGAAGAAAGGGAAGGCTGTATGGTAGGCCTGTAATTCAGTGGTCCCTGGCTTCTTTTAAAGGAAGCTGGGTTTCAATAAAAGAATCTTTTTCACTGCAGCAGGATCCTGATTGGCTCCTGTACTTCTGAAGGGGTAGATTCAAATAAACCTCCTATCGGAACACTTAAAAATGACTGACTAATTTTGGAAATGAAGTCATTTGTCTCTTGGGTACAAAACTCAAATATGTTTCAGAAAACCAAGCAGAAAACTCCAAGGAGTACTGTTTATATAGGTGTCAAGCCCAACAAGCAGTGAACATCCCTGGCACAGCTCACCCATGGTGCCAGCTTAGAGAATGCAGTTCACATTGCGAAATGTGTGCTTGTTGACTGAAATTTACCCACCCACCCTCCTAACACTGCAAAACTTCCTCACTGTACCTACCCTCCTGCTTCCATATTTGTAAGTTTTTCCCTATCCCTGGTGGTGTAATGGTTAAGAGCTCGGCTGCTAACCAAAGGGTCAGCAGTTCAAATCCACAGCCACTCCTTGGAAACCCTATGAGGCAGTTCTACCCTGTCCTTTAGGGTTGCTATAAGTCAGAATTGACTCGATGGCAACAGTTTTGTTTTGTTTTTTTTATTGTACTTTAGATGAAGGTTTACAGAACAAATAGTTTCTCATTTAACGGTTAGTACACGTATGGTTTTATGACAAGGGTTAACAACCCCGCGACATGTCAACACTCTCCCTTCTCAACCTTGGTTTCCCTGTTACCAGCTTTCCTGTCCCCTCCTGCCTTGTAGTCCTTGTCCCTGGACTGTCATGCCCCATTAGTCTCAATTCGTTTTATGGGGCTGTCTAATCTTTGGCTGAACGGTGAACCTCGGGAGTGACTTCATTACTGAGCTAAAAGGGTGTCTGGGGGCCATACTCTCAGGGTTTCTCCGGTCTCTGTCAGGCCAGTAAGTCTGGTCTTTTTTTGTGAGATAGAATTTTGTTCTACATTTTTCTCCAGCTCTGTCCGGGACCCTCTGTTGTGATCCCTGTCAGAGCAGTCAGTGGTGGTAGCTGGGCACCATCTAGCTGTACTTGACTCAGTCTGGTGGAGGCCGTGGTAGTTGTGGTCCCTTAGTCCTTCAGACTAATCTTTCCCTTGTATCTTCTTCTCTTCATTCTCCCTTGCTCCCGAAGGGGTGAGACCAGTGGAGTATCTTAGATGGCTGTTCACAGGCTTTTAGGACCCCAGACGCTACTCACCAAGGTAGAATGCAGAACATTTTCTTTATAAACTGTGTTATGCCAATTGAGCTAGATGTTCCCCAAGATCATGGTCCCCACAGCCCTCTGCCCAGCAATTCAGTCCCTCAGAGAGTTTGGATGTGTCTATAGAGCTTCCATAACCTTTCCTTGTACAAGTTGTGCTGGCTTCCCCAGTATTGTGTACTATCTTACCCTTCACCAAAGTTACCACTTACCTATTGTCTATTTAGTGTTTCCCCCCACCCCTCCCATCCCCCGTAACCAACAAAGATTGTTTCTTTTTGTGTGTTAAATTTTTCATGAATTTTTACAGTAGAGGTCTCATACAATATTCATCCTTTTGTGATTAACTTATTTCACTTAGCATAATGTCCTCCAGTTTCATCCATGTTATGAGATACTTCACAGATTTCATCATTGTTCTTTACTGTTGCATAATACTCCATTGTGTTTATGTACCATAGTTTGTTTATTCATTCATATGTTGATGGGCATCTAGGTTGTTTCCATCTTTTTGCTATTGTGAACAGTGCTACAATGAATGTGGGTGTGCATATGTCTATTCGTGTGAATGCTCTTACTTCTCTAGGATATATTCCTAGGAGTAGGGTTGCTGGATCATATGGTATTTCTATTTCGAGCTTTCTAAGGAAGCGCCATATCATTTTCCAAAGTGGTTGTATCATTATGCATTCCCACCAGCAGTGCATAAGATTTCCGATCTCCCCAAAGCCTCTCCAATATTTGTTACTTCCAGGTTTTTTGATTTATGCCATTAATGCCGGGGTGAGATGGTATCTTATTGTGGTTTTAGTTTGCATTTCTCTAACGGCTAGTGATTGCGAGCGTTTCCTCAAGTGTCTATTGGTCACTTGAATGTCTTCTTTGGTGAAGTGTCTGTTCATTTCCATTGCACATTTTTTAATTGGATTATTTGTCTTTTTGTTGTCGAGGTGTTGGATTTTCTTGTAAATTTTAGAGATTAGACCTTTGTCTGACTTGTAGTGTCCAAAAATTTTTTCTCAGTCTGTAGGTTCTCTTTTTTGGTGAAGTCTTTTGATGAGCATTTAAGTGTTTAA